GCTGTCACCGGCCAACGTGTTGTTGGTGTTTTTTCAATGTATGCTTCAGACACGGGTCACGACGAGGCATTCCCCATAGCAACCCCTAGAGGACGCAGTTCGAATTTCCCTTGAAAGAGAACTGTTGTTTAAGGCTGTCTGATATGAAACAGGCTTGCCGTTTCAGGCTCATCTAGTATTGGGAATGCTGTTTCATTAACTTATCCGACTATTATTTCCAACACGCTGTGTTTTAGTCAGTGATTAGCTGTTACTTAAAGCTATCTAGTGTATCGGTAACGTGCTTGATACTTAACAGCGCAGTATGTAGATTTTGCTAACTAAGGTTATTAATGCAAACGTTTATCTGGATAAGTGCAACATACCTGTTGCCTAAATTTCAAGTATTGACCTTATGCTGTACTGCATTAAAGGGGCATGCTGCTCTTCTCAGCTGCTTATTAAAGAAGAGCACCCCTTCACTGCTTATCTTCTTCTGTAAGGGCATGCTGCCCCAGTCTATGCTATTTCAAAAAGTATTTGCTTTAAAGCTATTGGGATTTTGCTTGCTTGTTAAGGCTTATCTAGTGTCAGTATCATGTTTGTTGCTAGACCTGCTTGTTGCTTAAAGCTATTGGTTGTTACTGCAAGTGCTGGTACCGGGTAAACTTGCAACAGCAAGAAGCTAATGTTTAAGCTGTTGTTTAAGGCCATCTAATTGTTCTTGAAATATGTTTGCTGCTTATGGCTCATCTGGTTATTGGGAATGCTATTTCTTTAGGTTTCTCTGACCACTGCAACATGCTGTGATTAAGCAAGAAACATGCTTGTTGCATAAAGCTATCGAGTGTATTGGTAATGAATTTTGTCTTTACTCACACGGGTTATCAGATTGAGGACTTGTATCACAATGAGCGCAAATGTCAATGGGAGGCGACAAACCTGTAAACTCATGAGTTGATTATTGAGTTATATGCTGTTTTTATAGAGTTTTTAAATGGATGCTAAAGCTTTAGGCCAGGTAGAATCTGCAATCTCTGAACCAGTTAATTTACTCACTTCTACGGCTGCAGTACGCTGTGTTTGCTGCAAACTGGCAAACTAGGCTGCAATTCTAGTGGGTTTTCTCCATCTTTAATCTTTTTCAGGTACTGCATTAAGGGGCTTGCTGCTTATAAATAAGAGCACCTCTTCGCTGCTACACTCCTCCAGTAAGGGGCTTGCTGCTCTTCTTAGCTGCTTATAAAAAAGAGCACCCCTTCGCTGCTACACTCCTCCTGTAAGGGGCTTGCTGCTCTTCTTAGCTGCTTATAAAGAAGAACACCCTTCGCTGCTACACTCCTCCGGTAAGGGGCTTGCTGCTCTTCTTTGCTGCTTATAAAGAAGAGCACCCCTTCGCTGCTACACTCCTCCGGTAAGGGGCTTGCTGCTCTTCTTAGCTGCTTATAAAGAAGAGCACTCATTCGATACCACTGTCCTCCCAAAAGGGCAAGCTGCACTTCTTACCTGTTCATAGCAGAAGAGCACCCCTTCGCCGCCACTCTCCTTCCATAAGGCATTTTCAGTTAGATTGCTGTCAGCATGTGGTTGGGGGGGGGGGCACGCCAATCATAATTCCCTTTATAAAGTCCTTTCAGTCATTATTCAGCAGCTATCACTTTGCTCAGGAGCTAATCACCAACCTCCATCCCCAACTTCTCCTGTCGTCCAGTCAGGACTTGACATTGGATATTTCTTCTTGAGTCAGACCACTAAATTATGTTGATATATAAAATAATCAATTAGAACATTGATGATATCTGCTACATTAATCAATAATGTTGGTTCTGTTCAGTTTACCCTAGGGGGGTTAATTATGCTCTCCCTGTTCCTATCCATGCTAGGCTGCATGTATGGGCAGGGAGTGTTGCCCAGAACAGAACCATACCCCCAACCAAAAATGTATGCTAATTGTAAGTTATCTTTTATGATACTGGTCCTGACAGAATTGTTGTTATCTGTTATGAAGCTCAATTGATTGTTGGAGATTGAGTGTCATTTGATGTTCAGCACTTTGGTTTTAAAGTGTCAGAACAAAGAGCATTTAAATTGATTGCCTCACAAAATACATTTCTGGCTAACTTAAATTCTTGTGTGTGGCATTATTTTATTTTATTGTTTCCCTTTTCGTGATATTTCAGTTGTTCATTTAATTTTGAGAATTCGGTCTAAAAGGAAAAAAATACCCCAAAACTTATTGAACGAACTTAGACAATTGATATTTTCAATTAGATCACAAAAAATATACTCATTTATAACGTTTTATACATACTGTATATAAATTAGCCTACATATTATTTTGTTTGGTTGTCTAATGTTTTGTTTTCAGAATCGTGGGAAAACCGTGATCTATATTCTAAAAATCTATTATCCAGAATAATGGCTTAAAATATAGGCTAATATAATTATCTGGCATCTAAGTAATACTGTTTCTAATATGAAAATGTAGTTCTGCAATGCCCCCTCCCTTCTTTTGGTTCGTTCCGTGATCCATGGTTAAAATCACGTTCCGGGAGGATCGGTATTTTGGCTGGGCCCCCCTCTGGTCTAGTGCCCTGGAATGTGCATTAATCCATCCCTAGACTTCTGTTCAAATAGCCTTAAGCTTTTATTTCAGGCCGGTCCAATCAAATTCACCTGCTAAGGGTTTAGACCAGGTTGTTAAGTAGCTCTGAATTACCCGGAAAAATCACACAGACTCCCACTTCACAGAGAGTAAGATACTCTGAAGTTAAAGGAATATTCACAATAATGTAACGTCCCTCCATCCCACGACACGAGTAGTTGTAAGTAGCTCCTGCTGGAATAGTAGAAACTACAGCACATCTGGAGAAAGACAAAAGAGTGAGTTCCTGTGATTTTGTTGCTCATTATAAGTATGACTCTTCACTTGTATTTTCTTCTCGTATCCCTGAATGTATTTAATATGATTAACTCTTTCTTTTACAACACAATGTGTATTTTATAATTGGATACTTCCTCCAACTTATGTAACATATGTTTTACACAATTTTTATTATTTATTGTTATTATTATTATCATTATTATTAAGCAGTTAAGCAAATGTGCAATTATTTGCCATGACAGTGAAGTGTTCATTTTTAATACAAATATATAAAACACCTTGTTTTTGTCTGACATCTGGACATTGTCATACTGTGTTTTATCATAAAATCGTGTAAAATAACTGTTGCAGTGCTGCAAAACTTAAAATTTTACTGCAAAAAGAATAGCAATGCACAGTGAAAGAATTGCAAGATTTACTAGTAATTATCAACATTTATAAATAATTGCAATCGCATTTAAAAAAATATTTGAACACAAAAATGCATATATTTGTCTATTAATCTATTAGTCTTCATTGCTTGAACATCTGTTTAGAGAAATTATATTTTTCTCCCATTCTAAAATGAATCCCTCATTTATGAGGCATGTATGTGTCACTCCCAAAACTTTGTTGCTTGTATAGGGTATATGGCCGTTAGCAGCACAAAAACGTCTCAGGTTACTTATGTAACCATGGTTCCCTGAGTAGGGAACGAGACACCAGACACGGGTCACGACGAGGCGTTCCCCATAGCGACCCCTAGAGGACGCAGTTCGAAGTTCCCATGAAAGGGAACTAAACTTCTATTCAAATTCCGAAAGGATTATATTTAGTCTAGAAAGTGCACATATAGGCCTTGCTTTAAAAAGGTGTCCCTTACTTCAGTTAATCGCGATCTCACAAAGTTCCTTTATAATCAATAAACCTCTACATCGTGTTACAGTGAGAGGATTCGCAAGCGTGCAGAGAAAAAAAAATCTGGCGTATAGAGGTGAGTGAAGGTCAGAAATCAACAGATGTCTGTGATTACCTACATTGCACAGCGCAGGTAGGTAATGTCTGTGATTACCTACATTGCACAGCGCAGGTAGGTAAATCAGTGTTTTGTCCACCGATCATTGCCACACCAAAAGAAAAATAAATAAAATAATTAAAGAATAATAATTTACCTGATCCTTGAATGCGAGTTCACAGTCTTTATTGAATGTGATGGAATAAAAAAAAAGCTGTGTACCTTGAAATAATAGTGCGAAAGTCTTTGTATTGCAATAAACATAGCTACAATACAACAAACTAACAGATTACTCTTCAAAGTTCCTTTATAATCAATAAACCTCTACATCGTGTTACAGTGAGAGGATTCGCAAGCGTGCAGAGAAAAAAAAATCTGGCGTATAGAGGTGAGTGAAGGTCAGAAATCAACAGATGTCTGTGATTACCTACATTGCACAGCGCTACGAAAACACATTGTAAATAGAATCTTTTGGTGATTTCCAGAGCGCAAACACAAATGAGACACGGGCTGCCATTTTAGAAAGATGTAACATCAACCGTCTGATCATTAGGTAGGTAAATCAGTGTTTTGTCCACCGATCATTGCCACACCAAAAGAAAAATAAATAAAAGAATTAAAGAATAATAATTTACCTGATCCTTGAATGCGAGTTCACAGTCTTTATTGAATGTGATGGAATAAAAAAAAAGCTGTGTACCTTGAAATAATAGTGCGAAAGTCTTTGTATTGCAATAAACATAGCTACAATACAACAAACTAACAGATTACTCTTATGATCTGCTTCTTTTCAGTTAAAACCACACAAGCCTAGTCTGATTCAGGAACAAGTGACTTGCATTAGTCATCTAAATGAATTGTTCAAAAAGACGAGAGTGACCAGTTAGAATCAGTAAGACAAATCCTTCACTGAACTGAATCGACATCTGACTCACTTACTGAACTGCAAATACCACTAATAACATAGTCTAAACACCTGCAAATAGTCAGTATATATGAAGCACACACACATATGTATGTATGAAGATACCAACTGCCCAGAATCTGTATATAAGAATATATCAGAGACACTCACACTGGGTTGCTGTAAAGATCTGAAGAATTGTTTCCAATCCGAATCTCTGCCCCATTTATCCTGTTTGCACAGCAGTCAGAACATCTGTTAGTGATGGTCACTCTGTTCACGCTGTACGTCTTCAGCAGGTCCAGCTTCCACCACGGGTCACTCTGTAAGTCTGTATGAGTACAGGTGGAGCTCAACCCATCCAGAGCGTTTTGTGCATACCAGGTGTAATATAATGTCGACTGATTAGCCGTTCCCCATGTTGCTATGTTCACTGGAATACATTCAAGAGAAGACCTTATTTAGAATTACAATTATTTATTACAATTATGTATAGCTCTGCTTGGCTATTTAAGTTAATGGGTTTTCATCATGTGTCTGAAAATGTTTCACAGCAGCACAAACTCATTAACAAAAGATGTAGTAGTGTTTACTTCACAAAATCTCACCTTCTCTTTCTGCTTTCTTCTGAACTGAGAAAAATCCTTGAAATGAGAAACACAGAATGGTGCTCAGTATTTAGCCACTTAAATGGATTGTTCTTATTAGCATAAGCCTATATTTTGTTGAATTTATTCTTTAAAACTATTTTCTATTTACGTAAAATTGAGAGTAATCTCTAAAATCATGTGTGTATTTTATATAATTTAGCTTCCCCAGTAAAAATTATTTTGTTTAAGGGTGTTTAGATAACGTTAATCATTCAATTATAATTTAGGTTCTTCTGTGTTTCTTAAGTGTTTCTCTGTCTGAAAGATGAAGCTGAAAACAGACTGTAGGTCACTAAAATAGGAGACAGATTGTATGTATTACTTACCCAGTAAAAACAACAGACTCTTGTAGAAAACTCTCATGTTGATTTCAGGCGATTCGTGATTCTTTCTGCTTTTGTTTGAGGAGGTTTGAATGAATGTTGTTCCTGGGAGAAATATATTAGTTCAAATTACGTCAGTGTCCCATGATCCTAGTTCTCCTCCCACTTTTCTTTCTGTCTGGAGCTGGAAAAAAAAAATTGTTTACACACACACACACACACACACACACACACGCACACATTTGTTTCTGTGAATTGTGGGGACTTTCCATAGACTTATTTTACTTTTATACTGACCAAACGATATGTTCTATCCCCTAACACTAAACCTACCCCTTACAGAAAACCTGTTTGCATTGTTACACTTTCAGATAAACATAATTTACTATTTTTCATATATTTTTTTCCCAATGTAAAAAATTTTAGGTTTGACTATCCTTGTGGGGACATTTAGTCCCCACAGTGTAGCATGGACAAGTACACACACACACACACACACACACACAAACAACTAAATAAATAATTATATGTATTTTCTTAAACATCTTTTAGCAACAAAACAAGTGAACACATTTTCACTGAAAAAATGTAATTTGTAACTTCAGTTTAGTGGTTAATGATATCAAAATGTCAATGCTGTTAAAATGGTACATTATATCTTCGGCAGACACTTTTATCTAAAGCAAGTCAAAGAATGAATTTCATGTTGACATGCTTACATTGAATATTAGGTGTTAACAACAATAGCAAAATTCACCAAACTGGATTGGTTTTTGTCAGCAATGCTGACCTCTCCTGAAAGAAAACTGAGGGAAAATCTTCCTGTACTCCATTAAGGTTTGTATTCACTTTTGTTTTCAAATTCAGTGGCATAAAATTTTACTTAAACTCTGTATGACTTTCTTTCAGTGAAACACCAAGAATCAGTTTTTGAAGTGAATGGGAACTGAAGCTGTCAAGCTCCAAAAAAAAAGGATAAATAAATAAAAATAAAATAAAACAAAATAAATCATAAGGGTACCACAGAAGTGGTTTATATGACAGTTTTCCCAACCTTTATCTGGCATACTGCATGTTGTTTCCATCTTGTGTGTTGCACTTGCCATTTTTAAATTTGTCTTTTCTTTCCCATCTTACAGACTTCTCAATATCAACACACATTTGCATTGTGTTGTTTTATCCATGGAGGCTGCCTGTCCAAACTCCCGGAAAGCACACAAACACCATCTGGTCCGACATGATGAGAGGATCTGTTTCTAGAAGACACAAAGCTATCTTTAAAACGTGAATATTCACATTAGGAGTTCATATAGCAATGTAGTAAATCTTTGCCACTTTATGCAGTTTGCATTTGTACTACTGCTGTTCACTTCTTAGAATGTCATTTGTTTTTCTTATTCACAGCATGTTTTCTTCGAGTCATTTGCTTTATTCTTCCAAACACCATGAATGTAAATGGAAATGGAAATGTTCCCAAATTGTTTATTTAGAAGAGCACGAACGTGTGAAGAAGCACACTACGACTGCATCCATACTGGTGTCTTGAGGTTTGAAAGCAACCAGGCCAATCCCGGCAGAAAATATCAGTTTTCAACTCATCATCAAAGTAGTCTAATACTCAAAACCTGTTAACAGGAAGTCTTGTCTAGTACCCAAAATACCCAAAAACTCTATGAACAGTCTTCTATCAGCCAAGAAGTTGACTGAGGAAAAAGCCAGTGAAGAGCAGAAGCAGGAGACGAAGTGATGATAAAAAGGATCATAGTTTACTGAATAGTCTTAGTTGTGTATGTTTCAATGCTCAGCCTTCGTCTGACCAGCACAAATTCAACAAGTACTGTTATTATCCAAACTGATTAACAACAACATCCCATAAACCTTGAGTTTCCATTAACATTCCGTCGGATCTCTTATTCGTGAAGACAAACAGCCCTTGAAACCACACAGTCATAAGACTAAACAACAATGGAAAAATATTATAAAAAACAATAATATAATATAAATGACTAATCAATAAATGAATCAATAACATGGGTATATAAATGACTATAATGATTATTATAAATTATTATATGATTAAATTGAATAGTAATATTATTAAATGATAAATTATTATAAATGCAAAATTGAATGAAGAATAAATAAATGAGTGATTACTGTAGGAACAATTGGATTTTTTTCAAAAACTCATTGTAAAAACATATTCTTTACCATTTCATATTTCATGTGCTTTTACCTTTTCTAACTTTAACACTTTTGGCCATTTGTCATCTTTAGCATCTCTTGGCGTCTCAGCATCTCAGTAACAGTGTTTTCCGTGCCCTAGTATTTACTCAAGTTGTCTGACAGGTTTATCAATTTGAAACTAGAATTGACAATTGGAGTGCACCATTCAAAATCAAATCAGATAGTGGTAATAAGTGTGCATACAGATTCCATTATGAATTGATCTGAGGAAAAAATCCCTTAAGGTTTGACCAAAATTACATCACCGTGTCATTCTAGCCATGGATAAATCATTGAATACACATCACATGATTTGACCATACCTTCGAGCGTGACAATTATATTTCTATGACAAATAAATGACTTAAAAACAAATATGTTAAAAACTAAAGCACAAAATTCAAAACAGTTAGTGTCTGACTAACTTAGTATCTTTCCAGTCATGTATCTCTGGTCTGAAGACATCTAAAATTCAATAATAATACAGCTTGTGTCATGACAACAATATAAAATGACTGATAACTCTTTTGTAGCTCAGGATGCCTCTATCCACAGAGTCTCAGTAGCCAGTTCTCGATGTGCCATCTCGGTAGTTTGCTCTTGAAGTGTCTCAGTAGCCTGTTCTGTTCTTCCAGAATAACCATCTTGAGTTCCATCTCTCTCTGAAGTTCTCTGAAGTTTCATTTGCCCATGCTGTTGACACAAACTGTTCCCTCTATGATAAGGCTCAAACCTCTCATTGAATTTCTCGAAGGTCGCCGATAGACATTGATCTACGAAAACAAAAACACGTGAATGGAAAACAGAGACTGCTCTTTTTGAAAAACGAGATTGTTTAAATTTATTTGAAATTACTTTAACACCATTATAACCTCGATAGATAAACAAAGACCATAGTGACCATTTGGCTGGCGACTAAACTAGTCTGATGTAAGCTAATCATCGTAGCCCCCCACCCGCCATATCTTCACCATGAGGCTGGACCCCAAGTCACTAAAAGACAAGTGTTACTTTTTTTCCGCTTCAGCAACTCCCGGCGGCAGCGTAACAGCTCGTCAATTCATGTTTGTGCAAAGGATGAGACGGAAAAAGGTTACCAATGCATGCCATTTTTACTCGTTCTCGTAATGTCAGGTTTACAGTGCAAAATAGCTCCGGGGTAGACTTAAAATAAAACAGAATACAACATTCTTCCTCTGTTTTTAACTGCACAGCTCACAGTGAGAGCTCGTCACTCCAGCACATTTCACCGAACTACACTACACATAATGCATCTCACTCTGGATTACAACTCCGGTACATAGCTGTCTTAGAGTGGCAACTCCTATCCCACCTCTCCCGCAACACTACCCCCACACTGGATGGTGATTAAACTTAACACCACTCCAGCACGATGACATGACTGATACAAAATACATCAACACACACATTAACCAAGATATTACCATAGATTCACAGTGTTAATAGAAGGCAGAAATACATTCAACACAATGTCTAACCATATTTTTTTTCCATGTTCGTTTCTCTCCTTTTTTTAATCAACAATCTGTAGGCATTGTCAAAACCTACAGTCCATTCAAGCAACGCTCAATGGAGGCACTGGCCGATATATTCCAACCCTACATGACAGGGTAAACAGTCCATAAGATTGAAAGATAACACGGTGCTGGGAGGGGTTAAAGAGTAACTTTGTAAAGGGGTCCTTTATTGAAGCAATAGTAATTCAGTCCCAACATGACTAGTGAGGTAGTTAATTAAGTCAAGCTAAGGAACAACTGACTTCTCCACTACTGGCCTGCGGAAGGGAAAGAGATTAACAACAGCCGTTGCATACAAATGAAACAACTCAGGATTAATTAAACATACACTTGGCTTGTTTCCTTAACAACAAAATGGTAAACAACAAAATCCACCCGGGTTACAAACATTTTTTATATTTTTGGATTCTTTCTTGCTCTTTTTTTCTTTAAGTCTTTAATAATCAATTAGTCCAGTCCTCAAACCTCTTCGGTGGTCGCCTGACTCGCCTACCTCTCATTTGGCCGTTAACAGTCCCTGTTATATCCTGTTGCACCGTGCTACCTTGACTCCACTGAACATCCTCTGTGTCCTGCTCTGCCATCGGCACAGCGGTATGATCCATGAGAAGCATGTTGTCTGTGCCACTGGAATTTTTAGTCTCCTTCGTGAAAAGACAAGACAGATCCAAATCAAGTTCAGCTCCATCGGCTTCCAGGTTTGGGGCAGGAACTTCCTGTGGTTGCCAAACTTCTGAGTCTTTAAACATCCAGCTGTTCTCCAGGGGTTGCCGAGGATGGTATGGTTTGAGCTTATCATGGTGAACGACCTTTACTTTGGTCCTTGGGTTTTTCTGGATCCGGTACACTAGATCATCCAGATGTCTCAGGATAAAGTAAGGACCATCTTAGTGGGGAAGAAACTTTCTGATCTTGTTTTTCACTTCTTAGTTCCTTTGACAAGGTACCACACTGCATCACTGACCTTATAGTGTGTCCTGGCTGCTCTTTTATCATACTGATATTTAGCACGCTCCACAGATTGGCCTAGTGCATGCCTTGCAACTTCAAAATTGGTGCCCTGGTCGCTATGGAGGTTAAGCGGTGCTCCATAACGGCAGACCCATTCAGCGACTATAACCTCTGCTACAGTGACAACCTGGTCATTGGGCAGGGGTTACGCTTCCACCCATTTGGTGAAGTAATCTTGCACTACGAGAGTGTAACGATTGAAGCGCTCTGTTTCATTCATGGGGCCCAACAAATCAACGGCAATCCTTTCCATGGGGGCACCCAC